CAGACCCACCGAAATAACACGTCAGCGAACGCAAGCTTTCGAGTTCTGCAGAACTCTTCAGCAGCCCAGACGTTCAAACGCCAAACCCAGACACAAAAGCAGGGAGGGAAAACAAAGAGTCTTCCCGATCTTTAAGCAACTTCATCTGCCTCTTGGGCAGAATGCTCAGCCGACTTCCGGCGACAGCTAGCATTAGAATGCTCTGACCTGGACGGCCCAGGCTCTCCTGATCTCATCAGGCCACAGAAGCTAAGCAGGGTCGGCCCTGGTTAGTACTGGATGGGAGACCCGTGAGGAGCTCCAGGGTTGCTACGCAGAGGCAGGCAGTGGCAAACCACCTCTGGACATCTCTTGCCCTGACCTGGACGGCCCAGGCCAGCCCGATCTCATCAGTTCTTGGAAGCTAAGCAGGGTCGGCCCTGGTTAGGACTTAGATGGGAGACCACCAAGGAAGTCCAAGGTTGCTACGCAGAGGCAGGCAATGGCAAACCACCTCTGGACATCTCTTGCCCTGACCTGGGTGGCCCAGGCTATTCCGATCTCATCAGTTCTTGGAAGCTAAGCAGGGTCGGCCCCGGTTAGGACTTGGATGGGAGACCACCAAGGAAGCCCAGGGTTGCTATGCAGAGGCAGGCAATGGCAAGACCGCCTCTGAATGTCGAAAACCCTACTGGGTCTCTGTAAGTCAGCTGTGACTTGACACCACTTCTCACCACCCCCATGGCATTCTGGGGGGGAAAGTGGAAGCCGTCCAATGGGAAACCATTAAAAAAAGTCTCTCTGATGCCAAAGGGAACGCCAAAGGTCCCTTCAGAGGCCGAGCGCAGAGGAAAACCAGACCCACAGTCGTAAAAGTGTCACGCATTCACCTGGGAGGTCTCCCCACAAGTCGAGTCAGAGATAGGCAAGCCCCCCCCCTTCCTGAAAAGTTTTATTGCTGAAGATCTGCACCTCAGTGTGCTACAGCCAACTCACAGCAAGGCAAAGAGCAATCAATGGTTTCTGGATCTCCGTCTCCCCACCCCCAACAGATCACACTCAGTTATGGGCAGTGCCTATAGGGGGTGGTGGCAGTGCTCCCTCTAAGCTGAGTGAGTGTGAGCGAGCTCACAGTTTTTTAGCCTCCGGCTCACACATTTTTTGCCTTCGCTCAGGAAGGAGGGCTCCGGAGCAAACTAAGTTATTCAGCAGCCAAATTGCTCGCTCACAACTTTTATGCCGGTCGCTCACCAAGTAGAATTTTTGCTCACAAGACTCCACAGCTTAGAGGGAGCATTGGTCATGGGTAACGTGAAGGAGCATTGGGGATGGGTAATGTTAACCCCCGGCTGAGGAAGGCCCGTCAGCCTGAACCGTTTGGGTGCCAGTGTGGAGTCACCCCTGGCAGGCACCGCTGCAAAAAAACACAACACAGGACTGACTAAGCCGTGCCCACCCACCGCCTACAGCGTAATTACTACCTGGCAAACGGCAATGCCAGGCAGGAGGGGGGGGGGTATCGTGTGCTCCCAGGGCCAGGGCTCGTCTCAGCTGGGCTCCCCTGGAGGCAGGCGGGGAGGAGAAGAAGAACCAGAGGCTCAGTCTACAATCGAGCCTTGCTGGGGATGCGGGGAGGAGATACTCCTTGGTGCCCTGGGGGAAAGCCACGTGCCAAGGTCTCTCCAACTGGAAGCATTATACCCCAACCCCCCTGCAATGCTGAGTAATATGCCCTTCGCTGGATGGATTGCAAGATTTCCACATCCAGGCGGCTCCTTCCACGCTGACGCATCTGCCCAGGAGGAGGAGAGAGTTCGCCCCTCCTCAGCTGCCTCACTACAATTCCCAGGGTGCTTTGGGGGAAAGCCACGACAGGTGGGGAAAAAGCAGACACAGGGAGAAAAAGAGATCTGCAGCAGAGATCCCGGGTAGCCGGCAGTATTCCCTCTAAGCTGAGTTAGTGTGAGCTTGCTCTCCGGCTCACAGATTTTTGTTTTAGCTCAGGAAGGATGGCTCCAGAGCAAACGAATGTATGCAGGTACCAAATTGCTCACTCACAATTTTAATGCTAGTAGCTCACAAAGTAGAATCTCTGCTCACAAGACTCCACAGCTTAGAGGGAGCATCGGTAGCCATGTGCCTCCCAGGAAGCTGAGTGCCAAACAGTGCATGGTGCTGGAGTTCTGGGGCTGGACCGTCGAGTTGATCACGGGTTGATCGGGGCCACAGGGCTAGGGAGCAAGGCTGACCCTACAATGAGACCCACTCAGGCAGCTAAATTAGAGGGGTTGATTTGGGGTGGTGGGCAGCAATCCCCTCCCCAACTGCCCCCTCAGCCTTCACCGCACCCTCTTTGGAAGAGTTGCCAGGTCTTACCTGGCTGCCTGCGATGTCATTGCACTGGGCACGTTGTGCAGGAGACGCTCTAGCATTTGGCCAAAACCTCTATGGTCACCATAGAGTTTTTGGCCAAATGCTAGAGCGTCCCCCACACGATGTGCCCAGAGTGATGATGTCGCCTCTGGGTGACATCATTGTGTCAGGCACGTTGGACGCGATGGGGCTCTTTGGGGGCAGGGATCCCTCCGCCAGCCAACTGGCCGTCGGCGGACTGGGGCCCTCGAAAGCGGGGGATCCCCCAGCCCCATCGGAGGGATGGCGACCTACTCTCTAGCCTCCGCACTCCTCCCCCAGGCCTCTTTCAAAAGCACATAGCAATTGGGGCACCCCCCCATAGGCAGTGTTCCCTCTAAGATGAGTACAGCCCTCGTTACAAACGAGTTCGACACCTCTGCTCTAGCCCCTTTAGGCCTTGGTAGGGAAAAAGAGGCCCTGGCTAGCTCCGTCTCGTCCAATCCGGGAAGCTAAGCAGGGTCGGCCCCGGTTAGTCCTTGGAGGGGAGACCACCAAGGAAGTCCAAGGTGGCTACACAGAGGCAGGCAACGGCAAGACCACCACTGAACCTCTCTTGCATTGACCTGGATAGCCGAGGCTAGCCTAATCTTGTCGTGTCTTGGAAGCTAAGCAGGGCTGGCCTCGGTTCGTACTTAAACGGGCCAGGCAGAGAGGCAGGCAGTGGCACACCACCTCTAAGGAGTCGGCATTAATCAGCTGCGATTTGACAGCACTTTACGGGCACAGAGGGAGCAGGAGAGCAGTGCCGCAGAGAACACGCCCTTTCCCCTCTACCGGGAGGGGAGGCATCAGGGAAATGGTGAGGGCCTGGAGGAGAGATAACCCCACCCTTTCCCCAGCCCCTAATCCACATCTCTCACTGGGGGAACTCTGCTTTTTTAAGGGACAGGGGTCATTTCCTGCAGGAGTGCACAGGAGCGGAGCTCCGGCAGTAAAGAGCCCAGGGGGCGGGCACATGCAATAAGCCCCACCCCCTGCTCCCAGCAGCCCTCAGTCAGAGCAAGAAGCAGCCAGGTAAGTTGCAGAGCTCCCCCCAACCCCCCGGTCCAAAACAGTCCAGTGGCACCTTTAAGACCAAGTTTTGTTCAGGTACAAGCTCTCCCCCCCCTGCAAGGACAGATCTGCATGTTCCCCCCCCCCCCATAGCTAGCAATCCAAACCAGTCCAGTGGAGCCTGAGCAGTGGGTGTTGCCTTCTGACACACTTCCGGTGATGTCAGGGGGTGTGGCATATGCAAATAAGTTATGCTAACGAGTTATGCTAATGAGCTCTTGCACCACTTTTTCTATGAAATAACCCCTGTTAAGGGATAAACATGTCTAAAGTTGCTTGCTTTAAGTAAATAAATAAAGTTCCAGCCGTGGAACTCGACATCACGTGTAGCCTGGCCCACAGATTTGAGCGTATGCTTAAAAATCAAGTTTCGAGCTCTCGCAGTTGCAAACATATGCTTGCAAATGCCGAATGCTCGGGTGGGTTGGACAGACCAGGCTTGCAGAAGCTGCGGAGGGGACTTCAGTCTTGGCGGTAAAACCGGACTAAATTAGGTCAATCCAGTGGGTCAGCCGTGTTGGTCTGAAGCAGTACAACAAATCTAGAGTCCAATGGCACCTTTGTTGGTCTTAAAGGTGCCGTTGGACTCTAAATGCGTTAGATTGGGGAAACTAGCAATAAATGCTGCGTACGTTATCCGCTCTGTTTTTATCATGGTACAACAAGTCGCTAGGCAGCCCAGGCTAGCCCGATCTCATCAGATCTCGGAAGCTAAGCAGGGTCAGCCCTAGCTAGCATTTGGATGGGAGATCTCCAAGGAAGCCCAGGGTTGTGACGCAGAGGGTGGCCACCTCTGAATGTCTCAACCTCGAAAACCCTATGGAGTCGCCATAAGTCAGCTGTGACTTGACGGCTGGCCCGTGGCTACAGTGGGGCTATTGGGGGCTCCGCCCCCTTCCTTAAAGGGACAGCCCCCTTCTTTAAAGGCCCCCCGCTTCTTCCCAAAAGCATTTAAAGGGATCCTTAAACTGCTTTTAAGAAGAAGTGGGGAGTGGTGCGTGCCTCTCTCCCTCCCTCCTGCAAGATTTAAAGGGCTCCCCGCCAGTGTTCCCTCTAAGCTGAGTCAGTGTGAGCTGGCTCACAGTTTTCTAGCCTCCGGCTCACACATTTTTGTCTTAGCTCAGGAAGGAGGGCTCCAGAGCAAGCTAATTTATGCAGTAGCCAAACTGCTCGCTCAGAACTATAATGCCAGTAAAGCTCACAAAGTAGCAATTTTGCTCACAAGACTCCACACCTTAGAGGGAACACTGCTCCCCGCTGGTCAGCTGAAGGGCCCTTTAAAAACTTCAGGAGGGGAGGGAGAGGGGTGCATGCCACACCCCTTCATTATGGCAAATAATGGCAGCCCCACCAGAATGTTTTTTTGCCCCACAAGCCACAAAATCCTGGCTACAGGCCTCTTTGACGGCAACAACGAATGCAAGCTGCAATACTGAAATTTCTGCTGAGCACAGAATTCGGGTTGCAGAACACTGTGAGTTCTCGAGCACAGAACGAATTCTCGCTGCCTTTGCCGCGGCAAGGCCCTGGGAATGCCCGTGCAAGCGGCTCACCTCTCACACACGCGCACCGTCCAGGCAGCGATAATCCACAAGGAGATGCTGAAGACCAGCAAGACAGTCCCGGGACAGATGGTCATGAGGGTCTTCATGACGAAGCGGGTGTTGAAGTTGATTTTGTTCAGGGCCCCGATGCTGCGGGAGGAGGCGTCCGTGAAGAGCTTGCTGTGCAAGAGCATGACGCGGGCGATCAGGTAGAGGCGCAGGAACATGGGGATGGAGAGAATGATGTCCACATCGGCCTCCGCCCGCGAAGCCGTGTACGAGAAGGCCAGCCGGGCCGTCCAAAAAAACTTGTACTCCCCAGGGATGGGGTGGATGGCGCACACCACCATCTCCAAGCTGATGTACAGGATGCGCTCGTAGGTCATTGCAATCCGCCAGTCGTCGGCGCCGTTGTCGATCACGAAGAGCTGGCACGAAGCAGGAGGGGAGAAGGAAGAGAGTTAGAGACTGATCTTCTCCCCTTTGTGCACATAGAACAGTACAGAGAATGGCATGGGCAGTCCGAGATTCCTGTGCTGGCTTCCCCAGATGCCTTGGCGGCGAGCCCTTTAACTCCGGCCCTCCAACCGGTGCCCAACGGCTCGTGCCTCTGGCCACACCCAAGTTTTACAGCAGGGGGCCCAAAATTTTGGAGCCTACCGGCACCTTTGGGGTTCTGACACAGCGTGGTGGGTGCAGGAACAAAATGGCTGCCATAGGAGGCGGGGTCAGCAGCAAAATGGCTGCCATAGGAGGCGGAGCCAGCAGCAAAATGGCTGCCATAGGAGGAGGAGCCAGCAGCAAAATGGCTGCCATAGGAGGTGGAGCCAGCAGCAAAATGCCTGCCACAGCTTACCTTCGGCCACACAGGGAAGACCTTTGTGCTGTGGTGGCAGATTCTGCCAAAGCAACATTTTCAAAAATCTGCGCAGCCCATCGAAACTCCAGTGGGCAAATAAGAAACCTTGCTGGGCAAATGCCCCCCCCCCAGCCCCCTACTTTCTTAAAAAACACTCATTGAGTGCCAGGAAAGGTGTGGGCAGGTGCTCGGGTGCACCATGTTGGGTTCCAGTGTTCCCTCTAAGCTGAGTTAGTGTGAGCTAGCGCACAGTTTTTTAGCCTCTGGCTCACACATTTTTGTCTCGGCTCAGGAAGGAAGGCTCCAGAGCAAACTAATTTAATGCAGTAGCCAAATGGCTCACTCACAACTTTGATGCCAGTAGCTCACAAAGTAGAATTTTTGCTCATGAGACTCCATAGCTTAGAGGGAGCATTGTTGGGTTCCCCTGTTCTATAGGTCCCTGAGTAGGAAGCAGGGAACCAAATCCTCAGCAAGATGAGGAGGGCTGGTAAATGTGTTCCCCCCACCCTTTCCCTGCCTGCTACAGACTGACATTCCAAATTGTGGCTCCAGGTGCATACCTTTCTCCATCTTTGAACATCTTTTATTTTATTGTGTTTATTGTGTTTTATTCTGTCTATTTATTGGCACAAAGTGCCCTATCTGTAAGCCGCCCTGAGCCCTTTGTAGGGAGGGTGGGGTATAAATTTAATAAAATAAATAAATAAATAAATAAATAAAATGGGTGCAGGGGTACTCTTTCCTGCATCCAAACCCATCCTAGGTAGTTAGAATAGATTATATCCCTATCTCTCATCTGTACTGTCTAGAATAGAGTTCCATATAATAAAGAACTCCTGTTGGTTTTAGATCTGACTACTGGCTAGAATGGAGTTCCATATAATAAAGAACTCCTGTTGGTTTTAGATCTGACTACTGGCTCTGTGTAACTTTGTAAGTCTGCTAGCACACTCAGTACCAAAGCCTTACTGCGCAGAAATGCCTAGTAAACTCTGCTACATTAACAGTGATTCCTGGCTCTACTAAAATCAGAGAGCCTAACACTAACTACTATGCGATACCATCTCCTAGGATCGTGTGAAATCTCCGCAAAGAGTGAAATTTCACACACGGCCTGTGACAGGAGGAATTTGAACCCTTCCTTGTCCACATCTCAACCTGTCTTCCCTCTCCGGCTGCTTCCATCCTGGAGAATTTACTGTCAGCAAAGGTACCATAACAAACCTTAGAAATCAGCAAGATTTTTGGGGTATGAGCTTTCGGGAGTGAGAGCTCCCTTCATCAGATACAAACAAGAATGGAAATCCCTGAGTCCTTATATCCCAGTCAGAAGGAGGGAGGGGTGTTGCAAGGGAGGCATTCGGGGTGCAGAGGTACAAAGCATATTGTAATCAGCTTGATTAGAGCAGGGAGATAAATGCTTAGGGGCAAAAAACCCACAGACCTGACAACAAGAATCACAAGACTGAGAAACCTGTAGGAGAGCACATGAACCTTCCAGGACATTCAATGGGTGACCTCAATGTTGCTGTTTTATTGCAAAGGAATTTCAGAAACAGACTGGAATGGAAGACTGCTGAATTACAAGTTATTACAACACTCAGGACAATGGAACCCCCAGGACTTAATAGAGACATCGGCTTCTTATCTCACTATACATGCTAAGTCATTCTGTTCTTACTTATACCAGAAATTAAACTTTGTTAGTCTTTTGGTGTAGTGGTTAAGTGCACGGACTATAATCTGGGAGAACCGGGTTTGATTCCCCACTCCTCCACTTGCACCTGGCTGGATGACCTTGGGCAAGCTGTAGTTCTGATACAGCTGTTCTTGCAAAAAGAGCAGTTTCTGTCAGAGCTCTCTCAGCCCCACCTACCTCACAGGGTGTCTGTTGTGGGAAGGGGAAGGGAAAGGAGTTTGTAAGCCGCTCTGAGACGCCTTTGGGTAGTGAAGGGGGGGGGTATAAATCCAATTGCTTCTTCTTATTCTTATAGAGGCCACTGAACTCAAACTTGGTTCTCACATCTGTTGTTAACTCCTTTATTATCTGTATACCAATGTTCTGCTGCTATTTACATGTCCTACTACATGTGTTATTCCAATCTTAGCTATATTTATTGCTCAGTTACTTATGCATCTTGACTCTAATCAGCTCTTTCTGGCAACTAACTACCACCTGCATGTAATATTTAAGGAAATCTGTTTCAATGTATGTGAAGAAGTGTGCACACACTGAGTTTCTGTTCTCCCATGTACACAGGGTTGAGCTTGGTTTGTCTTGGGAGTACTGCTGGATTAAGAACATAACATAAGAACATAAGAGAAGCCAATGCTGGATCAGACCAATGGCCCATCTAGTCCAACACTCTGTCACACAGTGGCCAAAAATACCAGGGGCCATCAGGAGGTCCAGCAGTAGGGCCAGGACACTAGAAGCCCCCCCACTGTTCCCCCCCCCAGCACCAAGAATACAGTGCATCACCTGCCCCAGCCTGTGAGTCCCTATCTATACCTTGCGGCTAATAGCCACTGATGGACCTCTGCTCCATATGTTTATCCAGTCCCCTCCTGAAGCCGCCCATGCTTGTAGCCGCCGCCACCTCCTGTGGTAGTGAATTCCATGTGTGAGTCACTCTTTGGGTGAAAAAGTACTTCCTTTTATGTGTTCTAACCCGACCGCTAAGCAATTTCATGGAGTGCCCACGAGTTCTTGTATTGTGAGAAAGGGAGAAAAGTACTCCTTTCCCGACCCGCTCTATCCCATGCATAATCTTATAAACCTCAATCATGTCACCCCCTCAGCCATTCTAGCTACATTTTCACATCTTTTTGTCAACTCTTGCATTTGCATGCTAATTTGCTGCTCTCCACTGATCTTACCAGCCACGTGATTCAATTTCGGCTCTGCATATGCATCTGGGCTCTGAGAGGGCTCCTAACGGCTACCCCCACCCTCTTTTCTTCTGTAAATAACCCTTGAGGAGATCTTATTCCATGTGTCTGAAGAAGTGTGCTTTGCACACAAAAGCTTACACTTTGAATAAAACTTTGTTGGTCTTAAAGGTGCCACTGGACTCCAACTTTGTTCTGTAGTGAGATAAGAAACCCATGTCCCTATTCAGTCCCGGAGGGTGGGGGAGGGAAGGTATCTCCATTGTTCTAAATCTGTAATAGACGAAGGGAGTTTCGATTCCCAGAAGCTCATACCCTGAAAATCAGTTTGGTCTCTAAAGTGCTATTGGATTCGAATCCAGCTCTTCTATTTCAGACCAACACGGCCACCCCTCTGAGACAATAACAGGAGTCAGACGCTTTTGGGGGGGGGAAACCTGGGGGAACGAAACAAGCAAGAATAGGCAAACGTATCAGTCCCCCGCCCACCCATCCACCCACGCTAAGCTTCAAGCCTCCCCCCACCTTCCAAGAGACAACATCAACTCAATGCCGACACGCAGGCTGTATTTGGCTTCAGGAACGGCTTCCGAGTGAGACACTTCCTGAGAGGTTTCAGTCCCAGTACGAAATGCATCACTTTGAAGATACACCATGAATATTAGATGGGGAGCCTGCGGGATAGCCTGTGGCTTGGGGGCCACAGGGCACATTTTGCACGCTCAAGGTTCACCGCCTGGCATCTCCCCTGGGCAGAATCGACGAGAGACACTGCCAGTCCCAGCAAGGCACAGGACTAGATCAAGCCAGAGTCTGACCCCACACGCAAGGCAGCTCAATACGTCTGAACATCCGTTGGCCAGCCACAGAACGAAGGATTCAGGAGGAACTCTGGAAGCACACCATGTTTCATTCAAGCACCCATGTGACATGAGAACGCACGTATGAACATGCGCGTCAATCCCCCACATCTGCACACGCAGTAGGCAAGAGGTGTTGTTTAAAATCCCACACCTTTTAACTTAAGGAACATTTTATTGGGAACATTTGGCTCTACAATTTCAGGAGAATATATCGTTGACCAGAGAGAAGTACTACTGGACATGTGATTGCACTGGAGACAAAAAATTGTATTTTTGTATTTCTTTTCTTTGCCCAGTGGTTAAACTTTGGAACAATTGTTTTCTGGTCTTTATTTCATATTTTGTATATGTATGATTGTATATATTTTTACATATCAGCCAACACGTTCTATTTGTATTAGATCTCTGAGGAAGGCCTGTAAAGGCCGAAACGCGTTAGGTCTATTTCATTAGCCTTTGTATGTTTTTATATTTGTATATGAGGTACGAATGGGCCCTTATTTGTTATTTTAATTTGTGTTGAATAAATACATGTATATTTTTGTATGTTTCATAATTAGATTTTTAGAGTTGGCCCTCTTCTATTCTTGACTAACCTTTTTAGGTTCTGAATTCTAGATTTTAGGTTCAGTTTTTTCCCCCTTTTCTCTTTTTTGTCCTTATACAGAATCAGACCCTCGGTCCGTCGAGGTCAGGATTGTCTACTGAGACTGGCAGTTGCTCTCCAGGGTCTCTGGCGGAGGTCTTTCACATTACACTCTGCATAGGACAATCTGCTGGCGGTCCCCGGCCCTAGAGACAACCCACTGTC